AGTGTGACTGCTTTTATTCCCCAACCTTCCCAGACATTGGGCAAACGGAACATGGTCAAGGCCCCCTACCACCAATCAGATTGTTAGCATAGGTTCTCTGCTGTGGCCCATGGGTTTTATTGTCCCTGGTGCCCTTCAGTCAGTTTGGACTCATAGGAGCCCCACACATAACCAAACAGAGCAGTCCCTGGCCCTTGGCCATCCTCACCACTGCTGCTCTGCTTACATCCATTGTTGCAGCCACTTTGTCCATTCACCTTGCTCAGGGTCTTCTTTTTGCTGACCTTCTACTTCACTAAGAGTGATGTCCTTCTTCCAGGGATAGATTGGTTTGTCCTGATCATACGGCTAAAGTACATAAGGAAAATTTCGGGCATCTTCACTTCTAAAGACCAAACTGGATGTACTTTATCCAAGACAGGTTCATTGGTTTTTCTGGCCAACCACGGTACTTTGAGTATTCTTTACCACCATCACAATTCAAATGTAAGAAGTCTCCTGCAATCCTCCCGATGCACTGTCCAACGTTTACACGAACAATGAGGCAATAGGAAATACCATAGCTTGGTTCAGGTCCACCTTATATTCAAGGTGTGCTTTCACATTTTTTTAATATATTTTTTAATATATTTATATTTTTATTGGGGGCTCTTACAACTCTTTAACAATCCATACATCAATTGTATCAAGCACATTTGTACATATGTTGCTTTAACATTATAAAGAGGCCTTTTGCAGCAGATTTACCCAAAGCATTATATCATTGGACTACTTGACCGCTGCATGGGTGATTCTGCACCCAAGTAAAAGAGAAATTATTTACGAAATCTTTTCTCCATTTATCATAATATGATCTATTGGCCCAACTGTGAGAATTTTTGTTTTCTTTATATTGAGTTGCAATCCATACTGAAGCTTGCAAATGGTTCAAATCCTACCTCCTTACAGCCAGCAAAGTTGTTCCATCTGCAATCCAGACATCCCATGGATTTAGAGGTTACATTCCATGAGCTAAGGGCAATGGTCAATCCCTTTCCAAAACTCAAACTCACTACCATTGAGTTGCTTCTGACTCATAGCTACTCTATAGCTCGAGGTAGACCTGCCCCGTGGTTTCTGTAACTGAGCAAGGTTAATTATTTTACTCTGCAGTAGTGAGGGATACATATGACCTTTCCAGCCTAACAGGAAAACTTGGACAGTCAAGTTGGTGTGGAATAAATAGTGTATTCAAAAGCATGGGATTATGTCACCAAATGACACATTCATAAAATGTTTGGTGTATTGTGTGACTGAAACAAAAGGAAAACAGCATGAGTAAAGTTAGAAATAGAAAAATAACATGAATTATATCGTCTTAACCATGAGCAATCATTTATGTATTTTAAATCTATAATCAAAGAGTAGAGGCATAGCAAGGGAGAGACTAAAATCAGACTAATCATTTAGGTGAATACTGAATTTATTATTTTTTAAAAGACACCTAAAAGTATGCAGCAGTAAGTAAGTGTGGAAAGACCGACACCCAGATGTCTAGCTGGTGTTGTACTAAAAGAGGAGGCAAAGGAGCAGGAGTAATTTTGGGAAAATAATAGTGAGATAATTTGGGGGCATGTGGAGTTTGATATGTTTATGGGGTACTCATATAAAGGGATCAAGTTGTGTACTTTATATGGTTTTATCATAAATTTAAATATCAATTATAGACAGAAAAATAGGCCATAGCTAAAAGTATACTTTCCAATATGGGCTCCTTCATGCTTTTCTACACAAAACATCTCGGAAAGAACCCACCGTAGGCTTTTTATGCTGATTCCTGTTGCATCTAGGCAACTCTGCATGCGATATCTTCCAAACTTATGCGTATATTTGTTTTCTAATGGAGGCCTTTTAACTTTAACCCAATTCTTGTTTTCATTCCCATTCTTGCTCTCAAACTCCTACCAGCAAACTGAAAAAGGTTACCAAGCTCGAGAAAGAGAAAGCAGCAGGGGGACCCCATGTTTCATATGCAAACTAGAAGCCAACCGCCAACAGGTTACCCTGGTGACTCTTTTACTTGCGCCATATTTCAAAGATCTTCTAGGAGCCACAGAACCTTCTACTTACTGTCAACTTGGTCTGCTCGGCTTTGCTTTTTCATGTCCTGTATGCAACCCTCAGCCTGAGAATCACTGTCCATGAAATTATCTTAAATGAATTAAGTTATCTATAATAGGCAATTTATTAAATTATGTATATTCTTAATCTGGGCCACGTCCCCTCTCCCGGATTATGTTGAGACTAAAGTTCTACCCTTTGGGAAGGTTTTCCTTCAGGATTTTCATTTAAAGCCACCCGTGCATGTAGCTTTTGTGCATCATTAGCACATATTCAGTTAGTACCAATACCCCCAAACTCTCATTCATCAGCCAGGCTTGATTTTCCTTTCTCTGCTAGATGTCTATAATGAAATTGATTCAGTTTAGGCTTAGGTCTCAGATGTGGAGAGATATCAGTGGTCCATGCAATTTTACATGGATGACATGGACATCTCAGCCCCTTACTAAGTCAACGTCCAGGTACCTTTGACCCAAGGCCTGATTACTGCTGAACCTGCTTAAACTTGATTTGTCTGACAGAACACAGTCATGACAGACATCTTTGATTGCACAGACATGTGATGTCACATGATCATCCTTTGTATCAATGCCAGGATTTAATAAAATCACAGGAGATGTTGTTTACATGGTGTTCCACTCATAGCCATCCAATTTATGCTGACTCTGAGAGACCACATAGGACAGGGTCAAACTAGTCCCTGTGAGTTTCCCTTTCTCCTGTGGAGCATCTGGGGGTTTCGAACTGTTGGACTTAGCAGCTCAATGCGTGATCATTATGCCACCAGGATTCCCTGGATGGCACTATGGGTGTGAATATTAAAAGGACCATAGGTTGCTAGAAGAACAAACAAGTCTTGGAAAAAGTACAGCCAGAACACTCCTTAGAGACAAGGCTGAGAGACATCATAGTGTCAGGAAAGAGCAGTCCCTTTACCTTCCCCAATCCTGCTCGCTAAAGTGGAGAAGCAGCCAAAAAGAAGGTGGCCCTCCAGGAGCCATACGGACACAGAACACTTGTGAGGACGGCCATGTGTGCTGTTGTGCAAAAGGTGAGTCGGACTGGCTCACTGGCACCCCACTTCAACAACACTTACGAGGGTGGATTTGCCTGGAAATTGAATGGATCCTGTATGTACCTGCTTAGGCACATACAAGAAGATTCACAACATTTATGAAAATTTTCCATTATCCTTTTCCTCTATGTTTCCACAAACTCACTGACGCTCTTTGTATATGCTTCATTTTCCTTTTCAATTTGTATCTCATATTATGTATGTCCTCCACTCTCCTGTCAGCTGGTCATACTATAGCATATGTTGCTGTGATTCTAGAGGCTATTAGAATTTCGAATATTATCCGGCTCACCAGTAGAGACCGCTTTCAGCAGACATTCTAGACAAAGATAGCTAAAAAGGAGAACCTTGCTATTTGCCTCAAATAATTTTGCTAGTGAAAACAATATAAATAGCAGTGGACTATTGACTGATATCATGTCACAAAATGAAGCTACAGGTTGGAAAGCACACGAAATATGATGAGAAGAGCTGCTTCTTCAAAATACAGTCTAATTAAACGGGTTGAGGGGAGCGTTCCGGCTCTGCATTTGCTGATGTGACATGATCCAAAATGACAACGAGCAGCTGCCAATATCCTGCAATGGTCACAACTGGAATGTACGAAGCATGGACCTAGGAAAATCGGAAGTTCCCCAAAATGAAATGAAATATTTGAGGACAAATACCCTTGTTGTTAGCAAGTTAAAATGGCTGCATGGGCCATTTTGAATGATTTAGTCATGTGGTCTATTATGTCAGGAATGATCAATTGAAAAAGAATGACATGGCTTTCATTGTCCAAAGAGCATTTCATGATCAATCCTGAGGTACAACACTATCGGTGATAGGACAATATTCATACACCTACGGAAAAAACAGGCGACACATGGAAGGATTCTGTGGGCAAATTACTGACTGACACAGGCAGCCTAAAAGACAATGGAAAGACAGCACAGCCATTGTCCTACAAAGGCTTGGTTGGTGTTCAACCTTTTCAGGAGGAAGAACGTAGTAAGATAGAAGATGACAATGAAAGAAGACTGCCCAGCTGTACTGCAGGCATGGGTGTAGGCTGATGGAGATTTTCCGATGAAAAGATGCAATGCTGACAATTCTCGTACCTCTAGGCCAAGACGTTTGGAAGACTGCTACCTGGTTAATCACATGGAAGAGTTCTTTCGGCGTGCTCATTTCAAAGATAATTAATCATCTAAAATAGAAAAAATACCATCCAATTTCATGAATACCGCATGGCAGTAAAAGTTTACTGATGAGAAGTCAAACATTATTAGGACAACACGTCAAGGGAGAATCAGACAGAAATTCAAGCTGGAATCAGAAGAGTCACTGGAACGACATTGCTGATGTCAAACGGGTCTTGGCTAAAAGTAGAGAAAACTACACAGTAGTTTGTAGTTTGTGTTCTTTTAAAGGAATTTGACTATATATGGATCATAACAAGTTATAGATAACATTGCAAAAAATAGAAATTCCAGAACAATTCATTCTGCTCAGGTAAAACCTGAGCACAGACTAAAGGGGTATCACTCAAACAGAACACGGAGCACTGCATGGTCTAAAGTCATTAATGGTGTGCATTGGGGTTAAATTCTTTCACCATACTCACGCAATCTGTTTGCTGAACAATCTGTGGTTCTCAACCTGTGGGTCTCAACCCCTTTGGGGGTCGAACGACCCTTTCACAGGGGTCGCCCTATTCATAACAGTAGCAAAATGACAGTTAGGAAGTAGCATCGAAAATCGTTTTCTGGTTGGGGGGTCACCACCCCATGAGGAGCTGTATGAAAGGGTCGCGGCATGAGGAAGGTGGAGAAGCCCTGAGCTAGACTTTACGAAGATTGGAGGCAGGGTCAGTAAGAGCTTTCCGTATGCGACTGGAACAATCCTGCTTGCTGAAAGTCAGGAGGACTTGAAGCCCTTCATAACGAAGATCGAAGACTGCAGCCTTCCGGGTGGAGGACGCCTTAAAATAAAGAAAGCGAAAATGACTATAAATAAGACCGGTGAACAGCATCATGGTACATGGAGAATAGTGTGAGGTTGTCAAGGGTTCCATTTTACTTGTATCCACAATCAATGTTCACGGAAGCCGTGGGCAGGAAATTCAGTGAGATCTTGCACGGGGTAAACCTGCTGCAAACTGCCTTCTCTCAAAGTATTTAAAAGCAAAGAAGTCATTTTGAGGACTAACGTACACCTGCTCCAATCCGGGTTGCTGTTCATCACTTTATTTGCATGTGAAAGCTTCACAAGGAATATAAAAGGTCAAAGAACAATTGGTGAGTTTAAATTATGGCGTTGGTGGGGAATTTTGAACATAGCATGGGTTTCCAGAAAGATAAAAAATATTGTTTCTTTGTGGAAAAAAGTTTTATTTCCTTATGCTATTAACTTTAATTAGTTTCTTATGACAAGAAAACCAATGAGTTGTATCAGAGAAAAAATATTAAGAAATAAATAATACAAGGATTTAACTACTTATAATTATTTTTATCAAAGAACTTTAAAGTAAAGGAATAATGTCAGTGCACAGACATAGTCTTGTTTGTCCCTATTCATTTATATTTGGGGAAAACTGAGATCCAAGTATTGAAAATTTACTCATAGTCCAAGTCGTCAACCAGCAGAATCAGGACTCAAATCTTTTAATGCCAAAGTTAGGGATTGTTTTTACTTTAATGTTATTTAATTAGACAATTCAAAATGTGTGCACGTTATGCTAGAACATGCTCCTCTAGCTTGTTCTATACAGAAAGAAAATGGAACAATTATGACCTAATGTTTTCTAGTCAATACTGTATCTTTTTTTTTTTTTACATAATGGAGAAAGCTTGCTTTGGAAAGGTAAGGTACAAAGTAATAGGCTAAATGTAAACAGTCCAGTGAAGGCATTTTTAATGATTTTTTAAATACAGTCACATTATTTAAATATCTCAGCATAATTGATAGATTAGAATTTGACCGGTCTTAACAAAGAATCATTGCTGCTCTAAATTCTTAACATGAATTAGGATGATTGCCTTTGTCTCTGCTATTTTTGAAAAATGCTTTAGTTGTTGTTTTGGTTAAGTGCCCTAGTTTTAGAGAACAATTTATGTTTTTAACTCTAAAACAGAAAAAAAAAAGTTAGATTGAATGTAAGTTAAATGACTGATATTAAGAAAAGAACTTCAAGTTTGACAGCTTTACTTTAATCAAAGATCTGCTAAGTGAATCTATTTTCAGAAATGTTTAATAAATTTTCTTTATGCGTTGAAAAAAATGCCACATCTTCAGATAACTGGTAAAAACAAAAGAAAGAAATTCAGCATGCCCTTTAGACTGGACCTATATCAATACTTTAAAAGCTTTTTGCTGCTTTGAAACACAGGATTGGTTTTCTGACAATGATTTATGTACTAATATCCCCAGCATATTTGCCTCTTTTTCATAATCATAAACCTGTTCAAGTTTGAGTATTAGAGGTAAACATGCCAATATAAAACATGCTGACCCTAAAATTGGCGTTTCTCTCACATGCAAGCACACCGTAGGTAATAGCAAATAGATAGATGGAAAACCCAGCAAAGGAAGCCAAAACGTTCAGTCCATTGAGGCTTTTTTCCTATTAATTGACCATTGGAGATAGATCTTTTGGAAACTGGACTAAATAAATAGTTATCGCGGGAATAGTAAATGATTGGGTTTCCACATGACATGGCACTCCTTAGCCCCCAAACTAGCCAACAGATGGGGGGATGTTGAGACCCGAGACTGGATGAAGATCAAAAGGACAGAGTCAGCACTTCCATATCATTTTTTCTAGCATATTAAATTGGGTTCAGATTTTTGCATGCCTCTCACCAAAGAAATCTTAAATTTGATCAGGATCACCTTCCTTAGAAGATTACTTAGCAAGCAACCAGATGTTGTTATTCAAGAAGGGCCTGTGGGAGTCTCATTAACTGCCACCCTAACCCTTATATGATTTATCAACATTTTCCTTCCAACCATATCCAATACTCTGCTCAAGATGAGCTTCCGGAAATGCAGTGCTATCTATCTTATACCCCTCCAGGGACCATGTCAGCTTCCTCTTGGCCAGGCAGTAATTTGATAATGCTGGTGACACTCTTGTTATCACATAATTTTCTATTCTATCCCTCCTTCCACTGAAAAGTGTAGTTGAATGCAGAAAGGGAGCCATGCTAAAAAATCATTTAAGAGACAAACCTTTAAAGGACAATATTGAATATGATGACCAGCCATTAAGTCTTTCTCAATGCACACAGCATCATGAAGTGTTTTCTTTAAGCTATAGATCGAGGGTTTTTTGTTTTGTTTTTAAGCTATAGATCAGTGCCAGGCAATCCATGAGAAAAATAATTAGACTATCCGCTCCTGTAAGCTTTTTGTTTTCTTGAAGCTATAGAGCTGTAACTCATCTGTTGGCTTAATTATATCATATCAGTGATTTAAATAATATCAAAAATATGATGTCAACTTTAATTGCTTATAGTGATCACACAAAATATTCTCTCATTGTATAATACATTAAAAATGTAGATTTATAAATATGTCTGATTCCACAATAGAAAAATTTACACAGATACCATAGCAACCTTAAATTCATCTTCACATAAAGAAAACTTTCTTCCCTCAAGTCCCTACAAAATAAAACAAAACTATACCCTGTCTAATAGATCTTATCTTATTAATATCTTCCTTTCATTAGCCCAGTCCAGAAAGAGTAGGACTTCATTTTAGATTTATTCTCTTGATTAGCTTCCACATTAAAAATTCAGCACACTGGCACTATATTACACATTTTTCTTCTCGTACCTTCTTCTATATCCTTATTGCCATTACTCTAATTTTGTGTCCATACCGTTCTCCTTAGATAATTTATTTATTCTCCTTAATTATCTTTGGTCCATAAAGTTTAAAACCCAATTGCTATTAAGTTTGTCTTGATGCATGGGGACTCTGTGTATGATGCAATAGATCTGTGCTCTCTAGAGCGTTCAATGCCTGCTTTTACTGAAGGCCATTGCCAGGCTTTTCTTCCACGGCATCTGGGTATGCCCTTGGCTCTCCAAATTTCCAATTAATAGCTGAGCACATTTGGCCTTTCAACCACCCAAGGACTCATCATTTTTGGCATGAGCCATGAATGAACTCACTGCTTTCAAGTTCAGTCCATACCCTAACAGAAGGACAGAGTGACACTGACCAACAAGGTTTCTAGGGTTATACTGGAAGCAGACCCGGGAGTGAGTGACAGGTTTCAACTGCCCACCTGCTTGTTAACAGCCAATCTCTTTAACTGCTGTGCCACCAAGATGCCTGCTTTATACTTTAAAAAGGAAAGGAAATGCTACCACCACTAGATCAATCCTGACTCATAATGACCCTATACATAGTTTCCAAGGGAGTAGAGCTCTGCAAGAGCAGATAGTGTACTATTTCTCTCCTGGATTAGCTGGTGCTGATCTAACTCATTCTCATTGTCAGCTCTAGAACAATCTCTCCAATCTATCTGCCTTGGCACATATAAAATAGAAAGAATCTAGTATGATTATCCGTTGAAGAATAAGAACATTTTTTGCATAATACAATGATTCTCAGGATGAGCCTTAGATAAACGTGGAACCTAGCCTGCCTCTCTATTCTCTATTCCATTTTACCTCATGGAATGACTTCCTCGCTGTCAGACTGTCAGAATCCCTCAGGCCTTGCCCCTTTCACTCCTGATTTTCCTTTCATCTGTCAAGCAGGCTACCAATTGCCACCTAAATGTCTATTCAATCTCTCAGTCTTACCTTAAGGCTTCCCTGTTCCTTAAGTATATCTTAGAATCTCCCAGGTAACTGTCAACACCTTGCCTTAAGTTCTTCCTGAACCCACTACGTAATTTTATAAGAGCAACAATACATTGCAGTATAATTTTTTATGGAAATATCTATTTCTCCACTTGTTCATTGGCATACTATGGTCATTTGCATGTTTCTTTGATGCTGAAAGTTATACCACTGACATTTCAAAAATCAGCAAGGTCATCTATAATGGCTAGATTTTAGCAAAGCTTCTAGGCTAGGAAGAAAGACCTGGCAATCTACTCTTTTAAATATTAGAGTTGGCCTTAATGACATGGATTGGAGTACAAACTTCAGGATCTTTTTAGTTATCTAGTGTTGCTTTTAGGAGCCCTGATGATATAATGGTTATGTGTTGGGCTGTGATCCACATGATTGGCAGTTCCTAACCACCAACAGCTCTGCAGGAGAAAGACTGGGCTTTCTGCTCTCCTAAATAGTTCCAGTCTCCGAAACCCACAGGGGGTCACCATGAGTCAGCATTGATTAGATGGCAGAGTGGTTTGTTGTTGGTTTTTGTGAGTGTGTGTGTGTGTGTGTGTGTGTCTTACAGAAACATTATGAATGGGTGATGGCTTAACAACTACATTTACCTTATCGCTATTTAGGAGGGTAGGATTCCAAGTTCTGGCTACTAGCTCTAGAAAAGGTCTTTCTCTCTCTGTAAGATCTGAGGAAAGGTCCTCTTTCCTTGCAATATCTGTGGATTTGGTATGTTTTGATCTCTATGATTCTTGATATCAATCTGCCACTGGATCTAGGAGCTTAAAAGCATAGGGAGCCTAGTACTTCATTCCCAACTCTTCCTTGTTGTGGTAACTGGTTCTACTCCCTGTCCACTAGATTTCCTTCCATCTGTTGTAAGGTCAAAAGTGATGCTAACCACTGCACGAGAAAAACCCCCTTAAATAGAACAGGGATCTGACCCAATTAAGGGTGTTGAGTCTCATCCTTGTCCACTGACATCTAATAAAGGCAGTAAATTGAGTAACGGTGTTAAATCCTACCCTATTACTCTTACATGAGAACAGAGCTGAACATATCAGGTCACATCCTATGGGATGATTACATCACTCCACAGTTGGCCAACCACTGGAAAGTATAACCC